GTGGGGGCGGGCTGGGGTAAGGGCAAGGGGTGAAGTGGGAACAAGGTAGAGGGGAGCAATGGGGGGAAAAAGAGGAACAACTGTATCTGAACAATAAAGATTTATTTTAAAACAAAAAAAAGTAAAAAAAAAAGGAGTATAAGGAAGTACTTACAAAACAGTCGTGGGATTTAAAATACAACATAGGGAATCTACACTAATAAAAGACAAACATGCAAATTGACCATACTTTTGCTACGCCTTAAGCCACACCCACCAGCCAATCAGAGAGGCCATATGCAAACTAACCCAACCAAGATGGTGGTTAATTTGCATATACCTGCTGGGAGCGAAGACTGAAGACAATGTGGAAGTGAAGCACTACAGAAGAGAGCAAAGTAGAGGCGGCAGAGACAGAAACGGAGCCAACGCTGCGGAGGCAGGAGGCGGGAGGGGAAACCCAGCCGGAGTGGCTGGGAGCGAAGCCCGCCTCAGGGGCTGGGAGCGGGAGGGGAAACCCAGCAGGAGCAGCTGGGAGTGGGAGCGAAGCCTGCCTCAGCGGGTTTCACTGCCTTCCCTGCTTCACTCGAGCCACAGGAAGCCCTATTCTTGCAGGAATCTTCCTGCAATGGGCCTCTAGTATAGTCAATAATATTCTAGCCCTGGCCAGTGTAGCTCAGCAGAGCACCGGCCTGCACCACTAAGGATTACAGGTTTGATTCCGTGTCAAAGGCACATTCCTAGACTGCAGGTTCGATCCCTGCCCTGGTTGGGGCTCGTGTGGGAGGCAACAGATAGATGTACATCTCTCTCTCTCTCTCCACCCTCCACACACACACCCCCGGCCCTGCCTTCTTCCCTCTGACCAACTCTCTCTAAAAAGCAATGGAAAAAATATCCTTGGGTGAGGATTAAAAAAATAAAAATAAAATTCTAATCATTATGTATGGTGTCATTGGGTACGAGGTTTGTCGGCATGATCGCTTAGTAAGTTACATGATGTCTAATTACTGAGGTGTACATGTGAAACTAATATAATATTGTATGTTTACTATAATTGAAAATAAAAAATGCTTTAAGAAGAAGGAAAAACTCTCTGGTAAACACTGAAAAATTTTAAATATATATAAATAATAATTCAATACAAGAGCTATGGAATCATAAAAATTGACCAGTTAACCCAAAAGAAGGCAAAACATGTAGAAAAAAATAAAGAGGCCCTGGCCTAGGGTAGTTCAGTTGGTTAGCGCATCACCCTGACCCACCAAGGTTGCGGTTTCAATCCCCAGTCAGGGCACATACAAGAATCAATCAATGAATGCGTAAATAAGTGAAATGTAAATGAATATTTCTTTCTCTTCCTCCCCCCCACCCCCTCAAAAAAAGATTTAATAACAGGAACACTGTGAGAACCTTGCCAATGCAGATGAAACCAAACTGACAATCAGCTTAAATACGTGAAGCCTGTCAAACATAAACCAAACATCAGCCGGTTATTTGGTCTTTTGTGGTGAAATTGCCTATGGCCAACTGTGTGGCAAAACATACGTGGCAAAAATGCTTCCAGCAAAGATGCTTACAATAAAAATGCCAAACACAGGCACGGACAGGTGAGTTATATGCTAAGGCAGAGAATGCAGTTAGAGCACAGATTTCACCTGGTCCAACATGGCTTAGGGAAGCTGCAGGCCCAAGAAGGGACCTGCAGGGCACAGTGGGGCGGGAAGCCTAGCACCTCCCACCGCAGGTGAAAGCTGGCCAGGGGTGATGCTGCAGGAGCTGGGTTTCCTTCTTGAGTGAGGAAACAGCCTTAGGGGTAAGAAGTCTGCCTGTGATGTGGGGGTCTGTGTGAGAATAGATGGCGATACTGGAGATGACACATGGGCAAGAAGCAGCAGGCCCCCAGCAAAACTGCACGTCCACGCACACTCCCTTTCTGCCCTCCCATGGGGCTGCCCCCAGGTCTCAGGCCTCTCACTGCAGGTCACGGTCAGGCCTGGGATGCCGCAAGCCTGCCTGGTCCCCTTCTCTCTCCCCAGCTTGCCTGGGCGTCCAGAGCTGCACGGCTCTATCCCAGCACCCTGGTGGGCTTTCAGGCCCTGAAATCTCTTCCTGTGAGTGGCCACCGAATTTCAACAGTGGCAGAACTGGCCCCACAAACAACTCAAAAGAAGCCCCTGCTGCCCGGCGGGTTTAGTTCAGTGGCTGAGCGTGGACCCAGGCAACCAGAGATCATCAGCTCATTCCTGGTCAGGGCACGTACCTGGATTGTGGGCTCGATCCCCAGTAGGGGGTGTGCAGGAGGCAGCCAATTGATGTGCTTCTCTCTCATTGATGTTTCTCTCTTTCTCCCCCTCTCTCTAAAAATAAATTTTAAAAAAGAAGCCCCTGTTGAACTGAGGCGAGGGCAGGGGGGTTTGGGGGGGGTCAGGGCAGGCTTTTCTCCTGCCCTATCCTGGACCTGGGGTTTCTTTCTTAGCTGCCATCACCTGTGTCAGGATCCATCAGGATTTCTCTCTCTTCTGGGTTACGCTGCTCCCACACGCAAGGCTCTTCCCTGGGCTCAGCTTGGGATGGGGCCTCTGGCTTGGGCCCAGGACCCTCTGCGTCTGGAATGAGTTGGAAGGAAGGACTAAGTGAAGCTGAGCAAGGGGTTATGATCCAGGGCGTTGGCAGAACTCTCCCCTCCCCCCTGCTGAGTGCCCCTCTTGGTGGTAGCTGTTATGTGAGCACGGCAGGTAATCAATCTCTTAGGAGGAACCTGAAAACGAGTCCATAGATACCCCAATTTCTGGTGTGGAAATAGCTCGTCTCAGAAAGCCAACAGCAGGCCAACTATGGCTTATCCAGGCTGCTGGGATGTAGCCCTTCCGACCCTCTTCCAAAAGAGTGGTGGCATTCGATTCTATGATCAGCCCTGTTCCTGGATTTTTCATTCTCATCCGATTAGGAACCATTCTATCTCCTGTGCATTATAGAAACAGCCTGGCCAGGTAGTGTGAACGTGGGCTGAAAGCACGCCACGCCCCTCGGTAGGACCGCGGCCACGCAGGCGGGAGGAGTGCTCACCCAGGGACATGAGGGTTTTGTAGTTCTCTTTCACAAGGTTGTTGTAAAGCTCCTTCTGCCATCCATCCAAGTTCTTCCACTCGTCCTCAGAGAAGTACACAGCAATGTCGACAAAAGTCACCGGAACCTGGGCCAACAAGAGTTTTAGTCTGCACCCCCCGTTGCCTCCCCTTCTCACACCTGGGGGCCCATGTGACCCTGGAGCCTGGCCTTTACTCTCCAGGGCTCCCCGTCCTCCTAATCCAGCCCGCTCCATTTCAGTGGGATCAGTCCATTCTGTTCCTACCTTTGCTTCCAGAACAATGATGGTCAACACTGCCTTCTTTCTTTTTTTTTAAGCATTTACCATACCCTCTGTAATTTCACTTTTAGGTTACTGGGTTCATGAAGGCAGAGCTAGAGGAGTCACTGTGCTGCTTTTGGTGCTCAGGGAGACGGGGTGTGGTCAGTTCTGAGTGGGTATCGGTGAGCCAAACACAGTAAAACCCTGTTATAAAACCTGTATTTCTGGTCAGGTCACCTCTGGGCACACAGTGACATTTTTGGTCACTACCCATGTAATAGCTAAAGGCATGCGAGGAAGCCCGGGATCGCCGCCTGCTTTGTTCAGTTATGTCCCAAGCATCTAGAAGCACAAAGTTTGAAATCAAGACATTTGCTGAATGTGCTGAATTGCAGTTGCCAATACCAGGAAGTTCCACTGTAGCCTAAGTCACCCACCACCTACTGTCAGTCCCTCGTTATCCCAGGCAGTCTAATCTGTTATCTAAGCTGTTATTTCAGTTTGACAAGGATACTTGTCTGTCACTCACCAGCATGGCCTCACCTGGGACTGAATCGTTCAAAATGGTTTCACTTCCATGATTTTAATAACAGAACTTCCCTTCTCTGACCACAGAGCCTTACCTCCCACCACTTTCACATCCCTAATGGACCAGCCTTTCACCCTCTCTCTGAAATCCAACCCCTCAGATCTGCCCCAGGCTCTAAGCCTAGTCCACCAGTCTCCTACCTGCACATACAGAGCCACCTGTGTGCAAATGAGAGACAGCCCTCAGGTGTCCGCTCACTGGTGCACAGTGTGGTGGGTGGGCAATGTCCTCCCATTAATTAGGAATGCCAGCCCGTGCACCAGTGCTCACAGCCCTAAGGGCCTCCTGCACAGGCACGATGCACACACTTACATGCTGATCACAGCTCACCAGCCATCTTGAGAAACAGACTCCCTGGACCCTCAAGAGACGTGGGTGAGTCCCCAACTTGGAACAGCCAATGCAGACCACTTTCTTCATTTTGCTTCCCTGCTGCTAATAAAAATCACAACATTCTGCGGTGACGCCCAGTGCATTCATATCCCTTGCCTCAGGCTGCTCCCTGAGAGGCTTCTTTCAAACTCTACCCCACGTTCCCCAGTCTCTCCTTGATCTCGGGGAGCTGTTGGCAAGCTCCCTTCCTTGCCCTTCTCTTTCTTGCCAAGCCAAAGCCCTCCTCATGTGCCCTTCATTTCTCCTCTCCCTCCTGCCTGGGAAACTAACCCAAATGGCCATTCAGTCTCCCCTCCACTGGCTTTCCCTCCAGGGTCTCCAACCCAAGAAGAATCCCACTCAACTCTGCTACTGCAACCAACTCTACATTCTCCTTTCACTTGAAACACCCAAGACACACTCTGTGCTTTCTTCTTCACAACTCACACATCCTTGAACCTCTTAATGTGTCTCTACTAGCCCCCACTCTCTGGAGGCCCCCCTGGAAGGCCATCGGTGGTCTCCTGCTGTTAACCTGCACCCTTTTAAAGGTCACACCACTTTGGTGGAATTTTTCTCCTGCTTGGTTTCCACAACGATGCTGCCTCCTGCCCTCGTGGCTCATGTCTTCTTTACAGCTTCCTTTTCCTCCCCAAAGACCCAAGGTCCTGCCTTTGCCCTTCCCTGTTTCTTCACTCTTCCCTTGGCAATTTCATTCTTTTCACAACTTCAACGGTTACCTCTTTGTAGACGACACCCTTCAATTTTCGTTGCTCCCTCCATAGTTCACATTTCGACAGTCTTCTGAGTGGCTCCATTTAATCATCTTTTAAATACCTCAAACTAAACGTATCCAAAATCAAGTTCATTATTTTTTTGACATCCCAACTCCTCTGTCTCACTTCACCATTTCTGTGGACTGTCAACATCCTAGAACCATATTCTCACAGCTGAAATTCTCACAGTCACTTTTGAAAACTTCACTATGTCAGGATACAACAGAAGTCTGAGACATGGCCCGAGCCTACAGTCTAGCTAGATAGATAAAAAGCACCCACAAATTATCTGCAAACCAATGAACAGACACAACAGAATCCAAGAGGCATCAAGGATCTGTGAGCCAACAGTCTTCCTTGAATCTGACAAAGAGGATGCATCCAGCACAGCCAAGAGTCCACAATGAATTACAATAATTGCTAACAATATGAACTTATATCCTTACAGTGCTTTATGGTTGTGGGGGTTTCAAATATGTCCATATATTCTTTGACAGTCCCTTAAAAAAAGCAGAGCCTACTTCTCTCCCCCTTGAGTGTGGGCAGGATTTAGTGACTGTCTTCTAAGAAATAATGAAAAAGTGATGGCGTATGATTTCTGAGACTAGGTCATAAGAGACACTGCAGCTTCCATTCTAGTCTCTCTCTTGACTCACTCACTCTGAGTGAAGTCAGCTGCCATGTCAGGAGGATGCCCAAACAGCTCTGTGGGGAAGCCCAGAAGGGGAGGAACTCAGGCTTCCTGTCAACAGCCAAATGAGTGAGTGATATTGGAGGCAGACCCTCCCACCTCAGTCAGGCCTTCAGTCAATAGCTTCATGAGATTCTGAGCCAGAACCACTCAGCCAAGCTGCTCCTGGATTCCTAGCCCACAAAAGGGGCAAGATTTGTTTAGGCTGCTCCATTTGGGGGTAACTTTTTACACAGCAATAGGTAACTAATTCATAGTGTTGTCCCATCAGCAAAACCAACAAATCCTCACAACTCCATGCACTAAGCATGTTATCACCTTCGTTTTCCAGAAGAGAGCACAAGCTCAGAGAGACCAGCTGGAAATTCCCCAGACTGGTATTTATTTAAACTTCACTTCTTTCAAAGGAAGGATCGAGGATGCTCAGCGATAGCAAAACCCCTACTTGACCAATGGTAAGGGAACCAGTACATATGAAGCTGAGATCCAAACCCCAGTCCTCTGACTGTGGACCCCATAACCATTCCCTCATTCTGTGATGGCATACGTCACCTCCGGGGTCCTCCAACGTACAGAACACACAACAAGGCCACGTAAGGACAGAGCACCGAGGTCAACCATAAAGCACAGTGAGAGGTGTTGACTGTGCTGGACAGGCACTGTAAAAGCCATACTGAAAACCAGTTTCATGGACTGCGGTGGCAGGGACGGCCTTATGGAGGAACCAGGCCACTATTCCAACTAGGTTCTATGAGGGCTCAGTTAACCTGTGTCTAACAACTCCTCTGGCGAAATCACTGCACGTTGCCTCTGCAGATACAGACATAGAAGACCCGGTCCCGTACATGGGAGTGTGAGCTCTCCGGCTGGAGTCACTCAGTAAGAATTTTTTTGCATACCGACCAACTAGGCACAGAGACACAACAGTGAAACAAGCAGACCTGACATTGTGGTCAGAGAGAACCAACCAAGAAGATAAAAACAGGAGTCAATATTTAAGATGCCTGGTGGCGTAAGTGCTTGGAGAACATGAGAGCAGGCACAGAGAAAAGAGCGTGCTGGGGTTGGGGAGGCGTGGCTCCCTGGGGCCACAGAAGGGCACACTGATCCAGTGACGACTGAGCAGACCTTGGCGGAAGTGACAGGGAGGGAAGGAACTTTTCAGTGGAGGGAAGTCCCTCAGGGGGATGGACAGTGTGATGGCAGAATGGTAAACAGCCACTGTGCCAGGAAGGAGTGGGCAAAGGGGTGGAGTGGAGATAAGGTCAGAAAGGTGGTCAGAGAGAGACAGCCATTGGTAACCGAGGGCTTAACACTGAATCAGACGGGAAGCCAGGTGAGGGTCTTAAGCAGAGGGGTAATATGACTGCCTTATATTTGAAAAGGACCACTCTGGCTGCTCTGCTGAGGATAGGTCATATGGGCTGGGGGACAAGGACAGAGACAAGGAGCGCAGGCAGGCGGCCATGGCAAAAACCAGATGAGAGATGAGGGTGGTGGGAGTGGTGGAGGTTGCAGGAATGGTCAGACTATGGATATTATTTTGAAGAAAAATCAGATGGTATTTACTAAATATTGGAAGTTGGTGTGAGAAAGAGGAAGGAGTGTGACCCCAACGCTTCTGTCTTGAGCAAGTGGAAGGATGTAGTTGTCTTCCCCAGAGATGAGGACAACTTTGGGCAGAATAGGTGTCAGGCAGAGCGTCAGCTCAGGTAGGTCATGTTAAACCTAAGATATTTACCAACACCCCCGGGGAGATGCTGAATGTGAATCGCATTCAAGGAAGTGTGGGCAAGGTAAAGAGCAGGAAGATATGACAACGTTTGGGAGCTGACAGCACACCGATTGGGTTTAAAGCCCTGAAACTGGATGAAATCGTGAGGGAGGGAGTGTAGAAAATAAGCTGAAGGTCAGACAGAACCCTGCCCACTCCAAACATAAGAAGTCGGGAAAGGAGGTGAAACCAGGGAGGAAGAGAGGAGCAGCTAGTGAGGTGGGAAAAGAACCCGGTGAGGTGGCCTGGAAGCCACATGAACGGTGTCTCAGGGAGGGAGAGGTCACCTCCAGGAGATCCTGCGACGGGCCAGGAGGATGAAGGCTGAGAACCGGCCACTGGCTTTAACACCATGAAGGGCATGAGGGCTCTGGCAAGACCAGGAGGATGGAGAAGTGGTAGCAGAGCCTGATGGGGTGGGTGCCAGGGTGCATGAGCCAATGAACACATTAAATGAGACGATGGAGGATGCAGCAGCAGAATCCAGTGAGAAACTCGACAGGATGGATGGTCCAGTTTCTTCCACAGAGAAATTTCAAGAAAAAGTGAAGGAGATGGAAGAGGAACCTACAGATTCAAAAAAGACTTAGGAGACAAAGCAATCACAATGAACAGACCAACAAACAAATGGGGGTGGGGTGGGGGGGTTACAACATTTTTTAAAGAACTGGAAACGTGAACACCAATTGGATATTTGAGGAGGTTGAAGCGTTTTCTGTGATGGTAATTATATTGAGATTATTCATTTTTTTAAAGGGAGTCTTTACCTTTTAGAGCTACATATAGAAATATTTATAAACACAATAATTAATGTCTGAGATCTGCTTCAAAATAAAATGGGAGAAGGCGATGGGTAGGGATTTAGATGAAACAGGATGGGCCAGGAGTTGATCATTACTGAAACTGGATGATGGGTTTGCGAGGTTTCATTATACTCTTCGAACTACTTTGGTATATGTCTTAATTTTCTACACTACAAAGGTTAAAAAGGGGGGGAAAGAAAGTGGGGAAGCAAGAACTGGAGACATTCAGACCAGTCGAAGGAATTCTGCTCTACAGCAGAGCAGAGAACCACGGCACTAACTGGAGGGACATGCAGGGGCCAGGGGGGTTTTTGATTGCGCACTGGCCAGTCCCATAAACAGGGAAGAGCTGATGATGCAGAAGAAAAGGGGGACATGCTGGAGTGACTTCCTGGAGTGACAGAGGACAGGGAGCTCATGGGAACAGAACAGGCAGAGTGCACAAGGCGGACGGACAGATGAATGCCGTGGCTGCACGTGGACGTCACCTGTGAGTGACTCCAGTTTTTCAGTGGACTAGAAACCAGGGCCATGGACAGAAACTGAGGTGTTGATGAGCCAGGGGAACACGATTGGAATGGGAACCGGAGCATGAATTCTCTGCGAATGGAATAGGAACTGTGAGAGGGGACACCGGAGGGTAGTGGTTATGACTTTCAAGGGATTCCAATCAGCGTGGTTTGGGTCTGTGTCCAGCCACGTTCAGACAAAAAGCATACACAAAGATAACCAACGACAAATGGTCACTCGGTGCCAAGTGGAAAACCCAAGCATGAAAGCTTAAGGAATTTGCAGACACCCGGACATCTCCAGGAGGGGAAAGGTCAAGGACAGAAACATGCAGACTCTTTGGGGAGTGGGAGGAGGCTACCTCCTGCAGGGAGGACGTTCCACCACATACCTTGGGGACCTCCCCCTTGCTGCCGGGGGGCAGCCGCAGGACCCAGAAGTTCCTGTTCCTCAGCAGGTTCTCCATGTTCTCCAGCCGCCTCTGCAGCAGCCCGTACTCCTGCAGCAGGGTCCCCAGCACGGCCCACTTGCTCTCCATGTGGTTCCCGAACTCCACAGCCGTCTTCTCGCAGTCGGCCAGCTTCTTCTCGGCTGTCCCCGTCCGTCCCTCCAGATTTAGCAGCTGGCTGGCCTGGGCATCCACCTTCCTCTCCACAGCTTGAATGGCGGCCACCACGGTCCAGAGGGAGATCTCGGCCGTGGGCAACTGGGGCTCTCTCATCACACGGTCAGGGAAGACAGGTGCCCTGTCTGGGAAGGGCGGGAACTGAAAAGGCATAGGTCGCCGGGCATCCATGTCCCATTCTTGAGCCTGGGTGCAGAGGGAGAAAGTGACAACCTGGGATGAGACCCTGTGTGGCGGGGGAGAGTGGCCTAAGAGCCCAACGAATCAAATGCCACAGATTCCCATTCTTCTGCCAAGCCCCCGCCTCTCAGGCTATGTTGTTCATGAATGTCCCCAGCAACAGCTCGAGCAGCCACCCACCCACCTTCCCATTTCCAACCAATCAGGTCACTAGTTCACCCATTTTGAGCTTTGGCCTTAAATGTCACATATGACTTTCTTTGAACAGAACAGCTACTTTCCTCAAGGGCTAGACTTAATGAAGAACTCTTTTCTTCTTTTTTTATTAATTTCAGAGAGGAAGGGAGAGGGAGAGAGAGACGGAAACCTCAATGATGAGAGAGAATTACCGTATTTGCCGGCGTATAAGACGATTTTTTGGCCCTGAAAAATATGCCTCCAAGTGGGGGGTCGTCTTATACGCCAGGTACACTTCAGATAGACTGCCCATAGTGCTTGCCCCGTGCCATAGTGGCCTCCCGATGCCCGCCCACTTCATTCCACATACCGTTCAGGCATCAGCAGCGCTGCTGGGTGTATGCTCGGCTGTTATGCGATTTTGCTGTTATGCGATTTTACCACACTCGCAAAATCGCACACAGCCGACCATACACCCAGTATGATAGCGCAAAATCACGAATCGCGATACCATACTGGGTGTATGGTTGGCTGTGTGCGATTTTGCGAGTGTGGTAAATTCGGGTTACCGTATATTTCTTTACATATGCATTGAAGATTCGCGATTTTGCGCTATCATGGTGCCTGTTAGAATGTTGAAGAGCTCGCACTTGCGCACTAGTGAGGTCCCAGGGAGATGCTGATGCAAGGGTGGACCAGACTGCTATAGTGACAGGGCGGGCCCTACCATACACCCAGTATGGTATCGCAATTCGCGATTTTGCGCTATCATACTGGGTGTATGGTCGGCTGTGTGCGATTTTGCGAGTGTGGTAAAATCGCATAACAGCAAAATCGCATATCAGCCGAGCATACACCCAGCAGCGCTGCTGATGCCTGAACGGTATGTGGAATGAAGTGGGCGGGCATCGGGAGGCCACTATGGCACGGGGCAAGCACTATGGGCAGTCTATCTGAAGTGTACCTGGCGTATAAGACAACCCCCCCACTTGGAGGCATATTTTTCAGGGCCAAAAAATCGTCTTATACGCCGGCAAATACGGTACATATTTGTTGCTTGCCTCCTGCACGCTCCCCACTAGGGATCGAGCCGGCAACCCGGGCATGTGTCCTGACCAGGAATAGAACCGTGACCTTCTGGTTCATAGGTTTCACTCAATCACTGAGCCACACCAGCCAGCATGATGCCCTGTTTAGGGTGGCCTCATGTTTTCTGTTTCAAGGTGAGAATTTTCATGTAAGTCAGTGTTCTCAACCTTGGCTGCACATTAAAATCACCTGGGAATCTTTTTAAAATCCTGATTTCTGGGCCTCATCCTCCAGAAATTCTGTTTCTTTGTTACTAATGTTGTGGCCTCACCCCATAACAAAGAAACAGAATTTCCGGAGGATGAGGCCCAGAAATCGGGATTTTAAAAAGATTCCCAGGTGATTCTAATGTGCAGCCAAGGTTGAGAACCACTGATGTAAGTCATCTGACTCTAACCTTCCCAGCAAACTCTAAGCAGGTTAGGGCCACTAATGATGATCTCTGCTTTGAAGACAGGCAGCTGGACCTTCTACAGCACCTGGTTTCATCGCCACCTGGAGCGAGCGACTCTAGCTGCGGCTGCAGGTAACGAAACACAGTTCAGGTCCGTGGTGCTGACACCTTCCGGGCAGAGTCGCACCAGGGGGGACACCACGCAGCCCAAGCGAGAGAGCAGACGAGCAGCCTTTTTTCCATATATAACTATTGATTCAGATTCCTTCCAAAATGAGAATAGGTTTGCCAAAAAAATGTCACTCTCTGAGGAGGGGAGGAGGAGACATCCCTAAGAGGAAGAGAAGACCTCTCAGCCCCCTCCCTCCCTGCCTCCTGGGGAGGGGTACCCCATGGGTGCAGGTTGGGAGCTGAATGAATCCTATGACCAAGTGAGGTTGGTGACCATTCACAGGTGACCTGGGGACTGGCCCCACACCGGACCAGCACCCAGCAGTTACTGGACAACAGCGGGTCTAATAGCGGCCTCTCCTTGCCACCAGGGACAGGAAGAGGTGTCATTTTCTGTTCTTGCTGCTGCTGCTGCTGCTGCAGTGGCCTCAGGCTGGGCAAAGTGGAGACCTGTTGCTTAGAGGTGACCTGGGCAGGCCTGGGGCAGGCATGCCAACCGCCCTCTCTAACTTGGAGCAGCTGTGACGGCCACAGAGGACCATCCCACAGCTTCCGGGAAATCACTGACACAGGAGAAAGGGGACCAGGCCTCTGGGCCCCAAACCCTGCTCAGAGACAGCGGTGTTTCCATCAGAGCTCTGCACGCGGGCTCATTGAGGCTTCCTTCCTGCCTGGCCCACAGAAAGCAACAGGGCTAACCGTGGAAGTCGGGGAAGTCACCAGGCCCAGCTAACTTTTCTGCGGTTTGGAGACCTAAAACTGAAGAATGATCAGACACAGCACCCGGCTGACCGGTCAGAGCCTGCTGAGAGAACCAGGCCATCAGCTGGGGGGCTCTGGGCGCCCCCCCACCCCTACCCAGGCCTGCTCCCAGGCTCTCCCGCAGGCCTCTCCGAGGACCACGGCCTGTGCACACAAGCCCGGCGCGGTGGCTCCCAGACTCGCCCGCATGCTGAGGTCCCCGCGGGGCTTTCGGAAATGAACGGCGCCTGCTCGCCACCCCACGGACGCGATTTCACTGGTCTGGGATGAGGCCTGGGCGGCAGGAGTCTGAGAGTTGCTCAGGTGATTAGAATATGCAGCCAAGTTTGCCAACCGCAGGAGGGAAGGCAAAGTCACCTCTCCACGGCCCCGTCACACCCGGTGCAGGGAAAAGTGAATGACTCGCTACACTTGGTGGGAGACGGCCGTAGGTTTAACACAGCCTTTCGTCCCAGTGGCTACAGTGGAGCCCTGCGGAGGCGGCCCAGGCGCTACCAGCAAACCCTCCGGCCCCCGCAGAGGTGAGCCGGGCCGGGCGCAGGTCCCCGGACCACGCGCTCCGGGC